GTGTATACCAGTAAGTTTCAAATTTATTATCACAATTAGAATACAAATTTCGACTTGTTTTTCTTAGGCATATCTTGGTGTCCTGCTGAAACTAATAATTTTTATACTGTTGGACGTGATGGTTTACTTATTCGTCATAGTATCAAAGATGGTATTCGACCGGTAGAGAATGCACCACCTGTGGCTTTATCTTTTAGCCCATATGGACATTTACTACATGCTGTTCGTAAAGATCGTATTGAAAGTGGTAATAATTTGTTAACTATGGACGAAAATAACAAACTGTCATATCCTGCAAGTAAGTGGTATGTTTTTTTGAAACATATATGAAGAGTCCCATACCGGGACGAAACGACTGTCCAGTGCTTTCAGGTTTCTGTAATGGTGGTCTAACATTGATCGATGATTCATGGTTTCAAAAATGTGTAACTTAACAATCTTCACAACCCCGTAATGAATATATATGTATTTGTATACTTACTTTATGTTCTCCTCAAAAAAGTTATTCACAGTTGGTTAATACATCAAATGCTTATAATCTCTTAGCTCTGCTCCTTATTTATTTGCCTGGAATTTTTACGCTTTCTAATAATTTCTCATGTATTATGTTACACAATGCAATACAAAGATCTATTGTTGATTTAAACTTAAAATGAATTGACTGAATCTATAGAAGATGCAGTCATATGAATAAATATGACAGCATAACGTTGGTATCTTCAATACTAACCAGCTTCCAATGGGTGTTCCGGCTATGATATCGGTTTGCGATAAATACTAACTACAAGTTGAACAGTCTCAACGAATCTCTTACCTTAAAAGTAACCATATACTCACACCATTGACGACTAGCTTTGAAATAGGCTTCAGATGTTGCAGTAAGATGTCTTGCTTAACAAAATTCAATCATATCATAAGTGGATATTGTATGGTTGTTGTACTCTATTAAAAAATTGAATGAAGTTGAAGATTTAGACCATTATATTTGAACCGATTGATCTAAAAGTCATGTATCAGATTGTTTAGAATAGCAGTTGGATGCGTATTCAAGGTCTATTTGAGTCAGAAGATTCTTTTGTTTGTTACCTGGAAATATTTCTTTATAAGTACTTGTAAGTCATATATCTGACTCTATAGTAGGTCATAATTAGTTAAACTTAAACTTAAACTCAAGGTAATAAGAGGACAATAACAACAGTCAATCTTAAATTAATGAAACATGTAAAATAACGTGTCTAAAATAGCTGTCCTTGCCAAATACGTTTCAACCAATGATAGCATAACCGATTTGTCAATATTTGATTAACCAATAAGGTGCAAGGAATAAAGAAAATGCACTCATAATAATAGTCATATATATAGTCAGCAATTACGCAATATGTTCGCTTGAACATTCCGAGTTTGATTCAGTGTGAGGTTGTGGGTTCTCATAAACGGCGACCTCCAGTGATCTATAGTATTCAGTAGTTTTCGAACTGATGCAAGCCCTTAATAAAAACTAATCGTATACTGTAACTCATTATACAGTCATTCATGATTTTAGAATGCCAGTTACACTGAAGGTCTAAAACGTCACAAACAATTTCAAAAGTGTAGCGATGTGATTTATACTATTTCAGGTTTAATTTTCAAAAAGATTAACTTGTATTTAGATTTCTAGATTACTTACACAATTGCATAACTTTTCGCTTATAATGTCGAGTCAAATTGTTGGGACAATATTCCTACTGTCGGTTTGTACTAGTTTATAAATTGAAAAATTGTTAAGCAACCGGATGACAAACAAATTTGCTTCTCTTTTTATAGCTCACTGACATAAATATTGAATAGTTTTGAACGTTTTTAATTCGATGCTATATACTAGTGATAGTTATCTAATGAATGTCTACCATTTCTAGATAACGATAATCTTTACTTGAAAAGCATTATTTCCATATGTGTACATATGTTATGCTCGTCACTTGTAATGCTTGAACTATTACGAGTTCACCTTAGTCGGCAAACGATTGAAGTCGAATGATCCAGCGACACGATAGGCTACTCTAATCCGAGCATCCCAAGGCCCCACTAAGTAGAAGAAGTCTTGATATGGCGTAGAAAGTGTATCCTACAAGCACCCAGAAAATCGAAGTTTTTAAGCACACAAATCGAGTTTATTTATACATGATAGAAACGTCCTTGGGAGAGCCACAAAAATAGCGTACTAAAATAACATCAACCGATAACAGTCAAGGATTTTCCGGGTGGGAAATGTAATCTCAGGGTCAACCGAAGAGCTTATGTGCGAAAGTATAAAATCCAAAATTAGGACCTTTCTCAAGTGAATTCTGGGGATCTAACGTCCCCAACAACCTAGTTAAATAAACTAGAGCATTGATTAGCTAGTTTCTTAATGTGGAATCATTCCTTTTTTTACTTGAGTACATTAAACAGTTCTACTTGTGTTCATAGTTCACTTATCTTAATCTCAGCATGTTTTGTTTATCAAACAATTATTTTTGACATTTAGATTTAGTTGGATAGGGTAAAGTTAAGTAAAATCTAATTAAAATATACCGAATGTACCACAGTAATTGTATAAATATAGTTTTTCGGTTGGTCAGAAGATTACATATCGATATTGTTTGGTTTTGTCATCAATCAATCAACAGCAACATAGAACTTCGTACGTACGTACATCAGTTCAAGTTGCCATACCACACTAGCATAGAGATGTAATCGTCAATTCAAATCCCTTAGTAGTAGAGGTAGTAAAGGTATTAGCTGTTGTTAGGAAACGGATCCTCGGTAAGGATGGCAGGTCAATTGATGAAGTATTGAAACTGTGTTACGTATGCCTAACCACCGACTGCCCCGACGAGCGATGTTTTGTGGTGTAAGAGTAGGTTTAAAGAAAACTAGGGGTGGCCAGACCAAAACATGGCACAAGTCATTGACAGGTGAACTGAGCCATGTTGGTAGGTGTCGACTACCTTGGTTGGGGCCCGCGAGATCATAATAATCGATGGTTAGAGACCCTGAAAAACATGACTCAAAACCGTTTGCAATGGTGCAGGTGCATTCATTCTTTGTGTTCTCCCAAATCCTAATCTTCTGAATTCCTCATCACTTTATCTTTTTCTTCTTAAGTTTATTCCACTAGATTCTAATTGTTAAATAATATCTTCGAACCCTAATCTCGCTGATTACTGCTAATAGCTGTTTGATTTTGTGATAATTATTGTTTCTAATATTTTTTTTCTATTTATCGTGTACAAAGCTACAAAACTGCAATCAACCTCTGTTCAACACTCCAATGGAAATGGATCTTCATTAGGCTATTATGGTTCTTCAAATAATACATCAACTTTACCGAATGCCGTTATTGCTTCTACTAATTCTAATATTGGTGATTCTGTTTCAAGTAGTAAAGATTTTGAACATCCTACTGTAATAGTAACATCTGGTAATACTGATGAATTAGTAAATCTAAATGCTACCACTACGCTAATCACTACAGAATCAGCTGTCAATATACCTGGTACTAATAGTAATCATAATATTATGTATGCCGGTAGTAATATTAATACTATCAGTACAACATCGATTATTTCTGCTACCTCCACTATGTTTACTAATTCACCTAATAACGAAACTGCAACAATCATGACATCGACAACAACCACATCACCTTCCTCCTTGTTTGATTCACCTCAAATGGGATCTTTAAAATCAACACAGTTATTTGTTTCACAAGCTCATAGTCTTTTATTTCATTATAAACCATGTTTAGAGGTATGAAAAAGTTTGTATTTTGTTAGTATTCTGTCTTTATTGTCATTAGCATTAATAGTAGTAGTAAAGTCATGTTGTATTACTCTGTATGATCATTTGTAACTTCAAATTTTTACATCACAACTTAGTTTTGATTAGACAACTGTAGCAAGTTTGGAAGCACTGGTTAGCAGTTTTATTTCCATTGTCGGACTCCTCATCAGTGTGGATCCAAAACCATCCCATAAATCGTAACGAGGATCTTTCCTAGCTTGGGTTTGCAGTACTGTTTCACATTTATTCGCTTCTTAATTCACAGTATTCCAATGAGTAAGAATGTGTAACTGTACACTATGAGACTGTATTTTGTAGTACTAAGGGAATTGATGTAAAACCACAGATCGTTTAATCTCTTACATTGTTTTTAATTATAGTGTCATAGTATACTAGTTCGTTTATCAATTTAATTGCTAATTTTAACATTAATAAGATTATTCTCACGAATCGTTTGATATCACCATATGGTAGTTATTAAGCCTTCTGTCAAAAGAATGTTACATTTACTATAACTGCTACCTGTAGCATGACTTGAATAATTTTTACTGTTATGGAAGGAAAGGTTTGTTTCCAAACTAGTCAAAAAATGTTCACAAAGATTCTGCTCTACTGTTTTATATTGAGATATGATGATTTCAAATGACGAATACATAGCAAATTCCTTTATATAACTTAACGGGATCTATGCCAACTAGATGACCAGTTTCACAACACTTCAACAATAATTCCTTTCATGGTTGCGAGAGAGATAAACGAAGTTTCGTAAGAAAGATCTGTTGGTGTAAATCTCAATAAAGTGTAATTACATTCGATTTTATTTAATTGTATATCAATTAATTCATTGAATAATAATTACCATTACCGAACGACTACTGGTAGTTCTCCATCATTTGCCTCAAACATTGCGCACCTCACTTTACCTTACGCCTTTCCGTCACTGGCAGTTAATGGCTTTAAGGAGTTAAAACATTAAAGCTATGTTTGACTAGTCTTAAGTAATTGTCTCTTGATCTTTGTGATCCCGCCTCCGAATCACTTTTACAAATACAGGTCTCAAGTGGGAATTTATAACTGCTCTTTTACTTCTAACATCACTTGAAATCACCCAAGGCTTAAACACATGTCATCATTTCTCCAGTGCCAAGTATGAACCAATTTAAATTTTATTTAGCATCACTTCATGTATATAACTGATTGTTAATCATTAATCTGAAGATAATGGGATACTTTTTAAGCCCTATATTAGGACAAAATGGGCGTTCAATGCTTTCAGGTTTTCAATGGTGGTCTAGCTAAGATCAGCTCGTAATTTAAAGTGAAAATTATACAATCTTCACAAACCCATTTACCAATATGTATGTATATGTATCCATTTCTTTTAGACACTTCTTCAACCAAAATGGTATGATTTCAGCAATGCTCTACTACCTGATCTAATTATTTTGTTGGCCAATAATTACAAGTTTATCGGGACCAATGTGGATATGATTTGTGAATATAATGCCAATGTTTGTTTACGATTTGGTCAGCCATTTGTAAGCCTCTTTTTAAAAATCAATAATTATTCTCTGATGTTGCTAAATATTATTTTATAGTTCCACCAGCTAAGTGCATAAAACAATCCTTGTATGGGCTATTCATATGTTGTTTAGTGAAAAACATGATTATGATATGTTCGTCACTAGGTACGCTTGAAGCTATTACGAGTTCACCTAAGTCGATAAACGCGAACGAGACAATTACCAGCGTCCACGAGGGCTGCCTTGAATCCCAAGCGTAGAAAGTATATTCTACAAACACCCAGCAATCACAATACAATGAAGCACACAACTCGTTTATTTATACATTATAGAAACGTCCTTGGGACAGTTACGAAAATAGCACACTGAAATACACAGCAGTCAATCACAGCCATAGATTTTCCTGGTGGTAAATGAAATTTCAAGGTCAGCTGATCAGTCCATGCTCGCAAACGTGAAATCCAAAATGAGGCATTTATCAAGCGAGTTCTGGGGATCTAACATCCCCAACAGATTACTAGAAAAATCGATATATAAACTGATAATAATCTGGCTCAGATTAGTAAAGAAACAATTCATCCGGACTATTGACGCCATTTCTAAGTTTTATCACATCAGGTCTGTAACGTTAAATTATGATTGTCTTAGTGAATGTGACAAGATAGTATACATCATCTTCCTCAACTTCCTCAAATATCGTTTTTTTTACTCCAAGTAATATAATGGCTGCCATTAGATCTATTTTTATACTTGTTCTCATGTTAGTCTGTATAATACAGAGCAACGGAACTAATGGACATTTGTAACATGTGTTTCAATTACCTCAGTATATAGAAGCTCACACAGCCTGAACAACCGAGTTACGATCTGTCCCCGTCGTACACACACTAGCGTAGTCCAGTAGTTTATCCAATCATTGATAGAAAAATTCTTTGACTGTCTAGATAATTGAATGGTTGGATCGTATGCCTTTTAATATTATAAGCTCTGTTACACATCCATAATCCCAGCCTGAACTAATTTTTGCACAATATATACCTTTGTGTCGTAGGCAGCGCGAAGTGTAGCAGAAGCTTAACGGGATTCTCTTTTTTATATAAATACTGGGTTTACATTAACCTCCAAACTGATAGGCTTGATAAGAATTCTGAAGCTGTCAGTGCATTAAAGTTCACTTTCTGTGTTCACACTAATCAGTGGTACAAACCAGTCCTGAAGAAACATTTATCTAGTAAAAGAGTAACTTAATCTCAAGGTTGTATTTTGTGACTATCTTCATTAAAAAAGAACTATATTGTTTGTGTACTTGAAGTTATTGGATAAAAAGATGTAATATATCAGTTTATTTCTAGAGTAGTGCTATGTATTCAATCATAGTGCTCGGTCGATTTGTAGTATCTGCTTATAAACCGTACTGTTATACAATTTTTAAATCAAGGTGTTGAAATGTATTTGGATAATAGGTCACGTGCTAGTTTTGAAATTGTGAATACTGCATAAACTGAGATACTGTTCTGTTGTTTCGATCAAAAGAACTTGACTTTCATTTAAAGTAGAACATTTCGTAGTCACAAGACGCTTTGATTGAATGAGCTCTCAGACACTGAAAGTATTTGATAAATTTGGTATAAAGATTTAGAATGAAGAAATTATCAATTTAACCTGGATAAGGTCACTAAAGTTCAAATTTGAATGTGATTCTGGTTTACAAATTGCAAATTTACCACTCGAAAACATAAAACAATATATGTCATTGTGTATTTTGTGGTCAATATGTAATTGATTTTTCAATGATGTTATTGTATTTTTTTCAGTTAGTACGATTCTGGTTATTATTACGTTCAATTTATGGTAGCCTTAATTCTGAATCAAATAAACGTACAGCATCTCAACAATATGCAACACAACCGCAACCACCTACACCATCACATCAACAAGTATACACTTTCTCAGATTTAGGCAATCAATATTCCAAACATATTCAATCCTCACTGATGAATGAGAAAATGGTTCCGTCTACTGATTCACCATGTGTTCATATTCCAGACAACAGAGCGTCGAAGCGTTTCCGAAATTCTGGAGCATCAAAACGTAAAACACGTGATTTAAAAACAAACGATACTACAGGTGTTAAATTATCGTCTATTTTAGAATCATTAGGTATAAGATGTCGAGAATCTGCACAAAAATCAACTGACAAAACAATAGCAAACATGAATGTGGAT